TTGCCCAGCAGAAAAGAAGGCCATCTCCATTTGTCAAGCGCTTCGAGCTCCGCCATTACTGCAGCTCAATTCCACGACTGAAGTTCCCTCTCACCATCCCCGGAAAAAAAACTATCCGAAGGTCGGAAGGAGATTTATTTTCCGATTCAATGTCACAAGTTGCAGGGTTTTTCTTCTTCAATATTACTAGATTTAGATTTTCAGATCAAATTGAACTGACACGATGTATCAGTGAAGGTTTGCAACAGAATGCCGGAGGCAAGAGACCGATTATCGAGGAGGTATTTGAGCAGGGGGAATGCTGTGAGGGTAAATTCGATAGCTTTTGTTCTTGAAGACGAGGGCGATGAAAGGCATGCTGCTGGAACTCCCTTCCGGTGGAGAGGCACGGCAATGGCGGGCACACCTGGGGTGGCTTTTGGGAGGGACAGTGTTGGGAATCCAAGAGGTGGTCGTGTGTGGTATTTGGGTCGATCGTCTGCACGTAAAACGGGGCTAAAAAATTTGTCCACTTCGGTGGGGCGTGGCCGTGGCCGAGCTCTTGGAAGTACTGTTTTGCCCCATTGGTATCCAAGAAGGCCCCTCCGCGACATTACTGCTGTAGTAAGGGTAATATTGCTTTTCGTTTTTAATATTGTGTTTTCAGTTTTGTTGGGGAAATAAGTATATTGTTTGTTTGTTTGTTTGTTGTAACTAATGTTTTTCTTGCTCTATCGGTGTTGTTTGTTATACATTTAAGGTTGTGCGAAATTTAGTTTTATGATTAATGCATAATTACTACTCTTCAGTGCGTTTGCAGGTCTTGTTCTGTGGTCAGTGACTATACGAATTTTTTTGGGACTATTGTGATGATCATATTATTATGTAGTTAAATTGATTACAATAGACTGGAATTTCTATGGTAGCTTTTAAATTTATCTTGAGGTTAGATGCATTTGAAGTTGAAATCCTGTAGGCTTAATAACTTCAATAAGAATTTATCTGGTTGACATACACTACAGATTTTCAAACATTATCTGGTGTTGGCATTGAGATAAGGCAATTGACTAACTGAAAGAATTTTCTCTCTAGGCAATTGAAAGAAGAAGAGCACATTGGGAAGAGGTTGAAGGCCTACGACAAACTGAGAGTCCTTTACTCGAAGACCGTATTTGTGATCCTTCAGCATCCACATCAGCTGTTCAACTCGAAAACGACCTTTCAATGATCTCCCCACATCCTACGATTGGACTTAAACGTCCTCACCCTACTATTGGTGAAGTCCCAAAGATACTTCTCGATATCGCCACTAAACAGAAGGATGGGGATTCTTGCAAGACGCCTCAGAAGAAGCTTCTAGAAAACATCGACACGGTTGAGAAAGTGGTGATGGAGGAGCTTCGTAAGCTGAAGAGGACCCCATCTGCTAAGAAAGCTGAGAAGGAAAAAACGGGTGAGGACTTTGATGTCTATGCGCTAAAAATCTTGGCCGTTCATTCATTATCTTGCTCTCAATCAAGGTTGAGGGGCTTTTTCGGTGGAATGTTGAAGGGCCCTTGAGTATCTGGCCTGTTGGGTAAAGTTGACCATCTCTTGATGATTGGATCCTTGCTTTGTTGGAGATCATCTCTTGATGATCAAGCTATCGAATATTGGTATAATTTTAGTTTCTTTTGTGAATAGTTGTATGACATCACGACTAGAAAAGATGATGGTAGGCAGAAGCAAGTATGAGGAGTTTGTGTTGGCATCTGATTGACATTACTATTGCAAAATGACCATTAAAATTTGCTTTATCCTGCTATTTGTTATCAGGTGCTGATGATTGAATGAAAGATTGGTAAATGGTTTTTTGTAGATCCCTTACAAATGTATGAAACTTAAACTATTTTCCCTGTCTGCTCTCATGAGCTCTAGTGTAGGAACTTCACAAACAACACAATTACAGAATATAGAGTTATTAGACCATGGCTTAAATTATTACAATTAGTTCAACACAAAGATAAACAACTAGAACATCCCTACTTATTCTTGGAACAGTAAGAGAAAACAAATGTTAATATATATATATAAGATGTGGTTCAAATGAGAACAAAATTATATTGTGAGAACCGTGAGAATCGTTATTTTTATTGTAATAATTGATTGTATTTTAGTGCTATTTTTAACTAGAATGTATATTCTTATTAATGATAGCAATAAAATTTTTATTAGCATTTGTGAAAATGATGCATCATGCAATATTAAAAATAGCATAACAACACCAACAACATACCCAATATATTCCCAACTGGTTGGGGTCTGGGGTCAGTTGTACGCAGACCTTACCCTTGTAATTATACAAGGAGGCTGCGTTATACACAACTAAAAATAACATCAAATATAGTTCTCACGTTTCTCACGTCAGATATAGTTTTTATTTGAACCAGCCCCGTATAGGATATATATAGGTACATTTGGCTGCAATTAATATACAAAGGTCAGATCTGTTCTTCTCATATGTTCAAGCTCGGCTCGAAAATTTGTAAGTGGAAATGAAAAATACTAGTGCTTACCTATGCTAATATATATAAACGGTATTTTAGAAATTTCACGTGTATCTCGAGCTGCTCGACAATGTAAAATATAAGCTCGAGTTTGACTCGAGTTCGTGCTCGAACGGCTCGAGTTCGATTCAAGTTCGGTCAAACTCGAGCTCGTGTCGAGTTTTGACTCGAGCGCTCGCGATCGGCTCGCAAGCCGCTCGGTTAGTCAGCACCCAAGAATACACTATGTGTGATGATAGTTTGTGACTGACTATAATGTTTTCAATAATTGTTTCTTCAAATTTTCGTGGTTGAATTTAGTTGAGTAGGTTTGTTTTGTTAAACAAAGGTGGTTGCAAAAGAAGAAAAAAACAAATACAATGAAACCAACAGTGTTGAATTTATATATAGAGTGTAACAACTACCCACCTAAC